TTTTTTTTTTTTTGATATGAATGCTCTGTCTGCATGTATGCCTGCAGGCCAGAAGAAGGCACCACATCTCATTATATATGGTTGTGAGCTACCATGTAAGTGGGTGCTGGGAATTGGACTCAGGACTCTGGAAGAGCAGCCAGTGCTCTTAACTGCCAAGCCATCTCTCCCACCCCTTGATTAGATCTTTTTATGACTGCTTGAACTGTGGGATTTGTGGTATACCTGTAATACACTTTATATTGTAATAGGCCAAAAAAAAAAACCTGTTTCATTTTACTTGAGACATATACTGGAGCATTATCAGTCTTAATTTGTATAGGAATTCCCATGATGGTCATAACATCTAATAGGTATGTAATTACAGAATCAGCCTTTTCAGAACTCATAGGAGTCACACATTGAAATCTTGAATAGGTGACAATTCTTTGGTGCACAAATTTTAATCTTTCAAATTCTGCAAAATGAAGTATATCCATCTGCCAAATTTCATTTCTTTGTATACCTTTTGGATTGCTTCCTGTAGGTATTGGAGTATGGTTACAAAAGGAACAAGTAGAACATTTTTACACGATTTCCTTGGCTGTTTGACAAGTGATAGAAAAGTCCCTTTTCAAACCTTTGCTATTTACATGGTGTTTCTTATGAAATTCTGAGACTTCCAGCACATTACTTATTAATAACTGGTCAATCTTATTGTTAGGTTGTGCTAGAGGACCTGGCAGATGCATATGGAATCTGATGTGTGCCATATATATATAATGTTCTCTATTTCTGATGTTTTCCTGTAATTGTATAAATAGTAAGGTTAATTCTGTATTATTAGGAATAAATCCAGCAGTTTCAATATGTAAAATATCTCTCTGTGTGTATTGAGAGTCAGTGACTATATTGAGAAATACTGTGAAGTCCACCAGTACCCTAAGAATGGCATACAGTTCTGCTTTTTGTACAGAGTTGTATGAAATTCGAACCACTTTTCTTAAGTCTCCTGATTTGTATCCTTCTTTTCCTGATTTATTTGCATCAGTATAGAATGTGGGGACTCCAGACATTAGTTTATACCATACAATGTGAAAAAAGACCCATTCGGTTCTTTTTGAGAATTCTATTCTCTTGCTTTTGTGACAACACTTGTTAATCTCTCCTAAAAATTACTGCAGTCTTCTTGCCAGTATTCATTATCTTTCCATAGTGAAAAAATTTCCTCTTAGTTAAAGGTACTACAATTTCTGCTGATCCATTCCTGTCCCATTGATGAATCTTTATGTTCTTTTTGGAATGAAATCAGAAATCTTTTACATATATATCATATATCTTTAATTTCTCACTTGGTTTACATGGTAGAAATATCCATTCCTATATAATATATTCCCTCCATATCAAAATCACTGTGCGAGGGTGTCTGCGGGGGAATATGATCAGAATGCTATTAAGTTCTATATTAACATGCTCTACATGTGCCTCTCTATTTCTCTATCAATTTCTTGTAGATTTATGGAAAAAAAAATTTAAGTCAATAACTATAATAGGGCATTCTTTGGATAACAGATAGGGCAAGAGCATCACATTCTATAGGGAGCACATAGGCTGAATTACTTTATTAATGGCTCTGTGGTCTATCAGCATTCTCCATTTACCAGATTTTCTTTTCTACTAGAGCAAATTCCTTCTCAGCTTCAGTTGATAACTCTCTTGGACTATTTAAATCCTTGTCCTCTTTTAGGGTATTGGCTACATTTACTAGTCCATCTTTACGTATTCCAAAGATAGTCTGTATATTGGAAATGCCTCCTATTTTTTTTTTAAATCATTAAGAATCTGCAATTGATCTCTTCTAAGTTGTGCCTTTGGGGTCTAATATTTTTGTAGATCTATCTTGTATCCTAAGTAATTAATATTGTCTTCTCTTTGTATTTTTGGGAGCAATTTGTAATCTCCAATGAGGCAAAACATTCTTTACTTCTTCAAATATGCTTTCTAAATTATCTGACTTCAGATCAGCTAAGTTATCATCCATATAATGGTAAATTATAGATTGTGGAAATTGCACATGAATTATTTCCAACAGTTTCTATACAATATATTGGCACAGGATGCGGTTACTTATCATTCCTCTGTGGGAGCACTTTCCATAGATATATCTTGACTTGCAGGGAGTTACTATAATTAGGCACTGTGAAGGCAAATATTTCTCTATCAATTTCTTGTAGATTTATGGAAAAAATATTTTAAGTCAATAACTATAATAGGGCATTCTTTGGATAACAGATAGGGAAAGGGCATCACATTCTATAGGGAGCACATTGGCTGAATTACTTTATTAATGGCTCTCTGGTCTATCAGCATTCTCCATTTACCAGATTTCTTTTAAATAACAAATACAGGAGACTCCCATATGTTGAGCATTTAACTGCTCCTGAATAGGCTGTTCTAAGGCTTATAGTTTCTCTTGTGTCATAGGCCATTGCCCAACCCAGAGAGGTTTATCAGTAAGGCACTTTAAATTACAGCCATTGGTACCTCTGAGAGTTCAAGGGTGGTTGTGCTCTGTTTATGTACAGGCTGAATGGTTGGTGGCTGTTTTTTATAGTGTCTTATAATATTATTCCCAGACACACGAATTGGTATATAGTCCACTTCTGAGACTGGAGGAATTTTAATCTGTGTATTCCATTACTATAACAGATTTTGGCCTTAAATATTCACTGCTATATTAGCCACATATGGCTCCAGCCTTCTTCTCTGTCTTTATGTCCCTGTCCAGTCAACCCATCTCATTCTTATTTCACTTGAGATAAGGTTTCAAAACCTAGAATTTGGACATCTACCACTTGAAGAGGCAAATTCAGATGTCATGATTTGGTCATAATTATAGTCACATCCACATCTGTGTCCACTAAGTCTTCTAGTATAATGCTATTAATTCATACTCTAAGCTTTGGTCTTTGTTCATTTATGAAGGTCTGCCAAAATATTCATTTTCTGGTGGTTTTTTGGAGTTTGTGTTCCATCTATCAAAGTTGTTCTATCATCCAGTGCAGTATTGTTCTTTACATTAGTACAAGATTATTCAATTGTCCTAGGCAGGAATTTCCTGCACAGTGACTATAATTGACTGGGCAACGTTCAACTTGGGGGCCTACAAGAGGCCCCTTGAGGCATTTCCCAATGACAGGGGTTTCCTCAGATGTCTCTTGTTGATCTGCATTCATTGGTTCAATGTCAGCCTTTGCCCATCTTCTGCATAATGCAGAAGGTTGAGATCTCCTGATTGGGTTATTTCTAGAAGAAGAATTGCTTCTTGGAGTTCCCTGTATATAATTTGTACTAATATGACTAAGTTTACCACAGTTAAAACATTTGGGACTTTGATGCCTCCTTTCACCTTTGGAAATTACCTCTCCTACCCAAGCCTCATCACAATATTGAGAGACTCTATAATGCTTCTGTATTGGATCAATTATTCTATGGGTACTGATTTGATCTATAAAGGTACAAGTATCCTTTTACATTATATATTAGCATTATCAAAAGACAAAGACTGACTTAATATTCATCTTAATTCTTGGTCTGATATTGTATTGTTTAAAACCTTGGTCAGTCTTTGTAAAAAATCAGTAAACAGTTCTTTTGACCCCTGGAAGAACTTTGTATATAGCTAAATTGGTTTTCCTGGGTCTGGAATCTTTTCCCAAGCATTTAAGGCTGCTGTATTGCATATGGATAATGTATGTTCATCATTTTGTGCATTTATATCAGTGACATAGGCCTCACCAATAATTTAATCTTAGGAGATCTCATAACCTCTTGCTGCTCAAGGGTCTTAGCTTCTTCTCTCAACCAGCTTTTCTACTGTAACTGTGGGCTATATTCTAACAAGGAGAATATTAACTTATTCCAATCACTAGACATGATCCTGTTTCTAGAAAATGTTAAATTTAACATTTTTTTCACATATGTTGAATGTATACCATAGGTAACTACAGCTTACTTGATATTCTTTAAATCTCTCATATGAATAAGCTGCCAAGTATATTTGCTGGCTTTTCACAAATGGTGAGAGTGTAAATCATTGCATAAGTGCCACCTGTTGTTACCATTGGTATGTCATCTCTAAATCTGTAAGGTACTGGCGATGTTATGACTTCCATAGCCTTGACCTTCTGCTTATTGTCACCCTTAATCTCAGTTCCAGCAGATTCTTCCAAAGCATGAAATAGACTAATCAAAGCTTTTTCTAGAGTTTGGACCTCCTGTACTATAAATAATTCCAGTGGCTTCATGTAATCAAACAAATTTTTATGTTCATCAGAAACATATAATTTCAAGGACTTTATTCTATTAATTTATGATTATCATTCCTTCTTAGAAATTATCTGTATGGTGTTAAGAATGTTCCGAATATTTACTCTTCTATCCATTAGGTATTCATATTTATTATCAATATAATTAAATCTGCTTGTCCAGTTATTATTAGAGGACTGATGTTCTTGTGGTAAGTGAGCAGATTCCAAAAAAAGAATCCTTTTGTTTACATTCTCATTACCACTTTGTAAAGTCCATATCAGTCCCATTAATGCCTCATTTTTGGTGTTGTTATTAAACTAATTTTTCAATGATATGATATGAGTTACTATGCTAATCACCAATGTGGTGAAAATTGTATACTGCTGTGGGATGGTCTGTATGTCAAAGTGCTCTGATTGATCAATAAATAAAACACTGATTGGCCAGTGGCCAGGCAGGAAGTATAGGCAGGACTAATGGAGAGGAGAATTGAGAGAACGGGAAGGCGGAAGGAGTCACTGCCAGCCACCACATGACAAGCAGCATGTGAAGATGCCAGTAAGCCATGAGCCATGTGGCAAGGTATAGATTTATGGAAATGGATTAATTTAAGGTATAAGAACAGTTAGCAAGAAGCCTGCCACGGCCATATAGTTTGTAAACAATATAAGTCTCTGTGTTTACTTGGTTGGGTCTGAGCAACTGTGGAGCTGGAGAGTGAGAGAGAATTGTCCTGACTGTGGGCCAGGCAGGAAAACTCTAGCTACAGTATACATTATACAGTATACATTATACAGTATACATTCCAGGAAGGTCATCTATGTCTTATAAAATTTCATCCATAGTATAAACAAAGAAGTTTGTAAATTTCTGAATGGTTATATTATCCGCCATGGCATGAGAGAGAGTTAAAATTTATAAAATAAAAAGGTTTTATGTATTAATTAATTAATCATTTTAAGGTATGATGTTATCAAGTAATTAACCTCAGATAAGATCCTTGAGAGATTGTCTTAAGTGTCCTGTTGTTCCAGATGTAATTAACCAAGTTGGGCGTATTTTAGGTGTAGTAGAGATGTTTGGCCAACAGGCATCCTAGATATAGTGCTAAAGCAGGTATGGTGAGAGCTGACTCAGCTCCTAAATGAACTCCTGTGAATCAAATACTTACCCCAGGAATTTCCCACCCATGAGTAATGTGCAGAGAAAACAGGGTCACAACAAATGAAGCAATACATTGAACTGTTTGAATTGTTGCTTTGGACATCTGCAGACACCTCTGAGCCTGGAGGTGCTGCAGGGCTAGCTTCACATGTGTGCACACTGAGGCAGCTGAGCATAAAATGGTGGCAGCAGCAGCTTGGAGAGGGTATTTCAAAAGATGTTGTTGGCAGTAAAGGAAGAGTCCCAACAATGCCACCTGGCTCACATGCTGTGACACACCCTTGCAGGTGGGCAGGAGGACAGGTAATGTGTCTGCCATTCACTCGGCCATGATCCCTGGCTTGGGGCACACTGATGCTGGTCTGGGGAGTTCCTATAGCCCCAGTTCTGGGTGGCTCACTGGTGCATGGGAGTCACCCCAGTGGCTCTGTGTAAGGTCACTCAGCCACATGCAGCTACCTGGACCACGGAACACAGGCACAAGTTAGATGGTGTGGCAGGTATGTATCTGGTGGAGCAGAAATTACTGGCCACTATGGGCAGGATTTGAGCTGCTGCTTTCAGAGGAATTGTCACAAGGTCCTGGAAAGGTGAAGCATGTTCCCACATTGTTCTTCTGCCTGAGACTATCCCACCAACAAAGTCCCACAAGGGAGTAAAGAGAGCAGCCTATGTGCATCTCAGGTTTTAAAGGTAGCCCTAAGCTACTAGGGGCAGGTACTTCAATGTCATTGTAAGGTGGGATAGTTACCTGCTATATCTTTCTGGGCAGTGTTTCAAGGTCATTGACATAACAGCTATCCACTACTTTTATCTTTTTGTCTAAATAAGAAAGCCTGCATGGGACTAGACTAGGCCCTCTGCATAAGCAAGACAGTTATGTAGCTTTATCTGCTTAAGGGACCCTTTACAGTAGGAACAGGATACATCCCTGGTGCATGAGCTGGCCTTTTGAAGCCCACTATCTATGGTGGGACACCTTTCACATCCTTTATGAATGGAGAGGGGTTTGGACCTGCCTCAAATGAATGTACTAGGCTCTACTGACTCCCCTTGGGAGGCCTTACCTTCTTGAAGGAGGGAATGAGGGGTGGTATGGGTGGGGAGGCTAGAGGGGGGAGGAGGGAAAAAGGGGAATCCGTGGTTGGTATGTAAAATGAATAAAAAATTTCTTAATAAAAAATATTGCCTCACCAACTCCAGTGTCATCCATGTGACATTAACAATTATGTCTATAATAGCGGGTGGGAGTTATGTGTCTCATGGGACTAAGCTCCCTGGAGGTCCCTGGCAGAGTATTCGTGTTATGCCTCCCTCTCAAAGAAGACATGCTTCACAGAGCATGAGCTCTCTGGGCTATGGATTCTGTATATCTGCTTTTCTGATAATGTTCTAATTAATCTATAAAACACAGCCAAAATTAATGAATGCTTGGTTTGTGAACTATGGAGGAAAGGGAAAGCTGGACATGGATCTTAATGAAATATAACCGAATGAGCTATTTTTAAGACCCCAAGCCACTAGATTAAAAAAAAAATGTAAAGGTTCAGACACTTTTATGAAATGAACACTCACTCACTAGAAATCCTTTAGGAATCCCAACTAAAGTGATTTATGGCAGAAGATGTTATCTCATAGGAGACAGATGGTGGGCCCCTCCATTGAGGAAGTTCAACATGAGAAACTTAAGGACTACAACAGAACCCCTTCCCCTTACAGGCGTAAAAGTACAAGAGTCCATATTCCAACAAGTAAAAAGGTTTTATATTAAAAGAGATATGTGATAAAAGAACTAAAAAAAGACTTAGAGAGGATCTGCAGCATCCAAATTGGCTAAGTGAGTCATGAAAACCAAAAAAGTAAAAGTACATAATAAACTAGATAAGATGAAAGAAACAGCTACAACCACAAAAAAAGTCTACACAAGTCTAGGGACTGTACTAAGTTTAAAACACAGATTGCTCTTTGGGTCATAAAGTTCTTATGGGTGAAGGGATATGACTAGCGCCAATTAATAATTGTGTGCTTGCTGTTTTTTGAAGATGATGTAATTAAATTTTTGCCAAGCTCTTGTTGTTCCTTGTATGACTTGATGGTTTTCTTTTCTGTATATAAACTACTGATTTGCAGAAGTAAAATTACAGCAGATTCAAACCACTTCTGAGTGTGTTGTCTGTCTGTCATTCGCCAAATCCTTACCTTCCTGACTACCCAAGCCCTTGTTCCCCTACGGTCATGGTACCCCTAATGGGCCAGTCCGTGGCAAAATATCAACTTTAAGGAAAAAAATTAAAACTAAAAATGCAATGTATAAATAAGAAATGAGGTTAGTAGTTAATGTACAATAATTAAAGTTGTAGTCACATTCGGTATGTTTTCCAGGTTAAATAGGTATATTTTAGATTAAACAGTTTTCAAAAACTTCAAAGATTTGCAGCATATGGCATTTAAAATGTTTTGTTAACCAAAGGTTTTTCATGACAATGTGACACATCTGCTCTTGACAACACCAATTTGCTTCAGACATGATGGACATCATCTTTATGGAGTTTGCTTTCACTGTGGCAAGGATAGCCACTGGTCAAAGAACATGTTCTTGCCTTTGACTGCTGACAGTGTGCTGTTCAGACTGGTCATGAAAGACACACTGGAAAAAGACTTTTGAACTTTGCAAAAACAAGGCAGGACAGTCCTGCAAAATTCCTGCTTCACAGAAGAGTCTGCTAGATATTCTGCAGGACACAGAAGAAAGCAACTGATGAACTTTGTGAATATAAGCAGGACAGTCCTGCAAATTTCCTGCTTCACTGAAAAGTTTGCCAGATATTCTAGACCTTTACAATGAAGATGGATGCCCCAACATTGCAGAGGAACTCTGGGTGACTCTCCAGGCAGCCAAATGTCTCTGTTGTTAGATAATATTATATCCTTCTGGGTCTTTGATGGAATTAAGGACTAAATAATTATAGTTTTCCTTAGTTATGATAGAAAGTAAATTAGGTGTAAAACTGGATTCTCTAAGATAGGCTAGATAATGGATTATTTTTCTATGAATATGCTAACTACAAATGGACAGAATATTATAAATGTAATTCTTATTTGATAACTGTTTTTATTGTGTCTAATTTTACTACGTTAAAGTTAAAATGTTTCTTTTTATTTAGACAAAAATGGGCAAATGTTGTGGAATATTATTTTTAAATGTGTTACATTTGTTCATGCTGTGGAACATTTGTTTAATGATAAAAAGATGTGTTGCAGTTTTTATGTTGTATTTGTTTAATTCTGAAGCTGTTTTACTTTGACTATCTAAAACATCTGACGGTCTAATAAAGAGCTGAATGGCCAATAGCAAGGCAAGAGAAAGGATAGGCAGGGCTGGCAGGCAGAGAGAATAAATAGACAGAGAAATCTGGGAGGAGAATAGAGAAAGAGCAAGACTCCAAAGAACAAAGAGTAAAGAAGAAGAGGAAAAAAACTATTAACTACAAAATATTTCCCCTAAAACATTCCTATGTAGTAGGAAAATAACATTATTCTTTGCCAAGCTTTATAGAGGATAACTAGTTAGAACATGTATAGCATAAAGAAAGCTATTTTTAAAAGTAATTCACTCTCTGCTTTCAGTCATTATAACTGAGAATGGTCACCCAAATATATTTTAAGTGGCACTGCAAAAATTTTATGGAAATAGGCTGTAAAAGAAATGACAGTATATGAAGAGAATCCTCAGAGAGATGGGTTTGCCGTAACAGAAAGCATAGTGTAAGCATATTGCTATAACTAACATTTTAAAGGATGATGAATAATTTTGTGTAAGTATATATGTATCAGATAATTTTCTATTGCTGTGATAAAACCACCTTGACCAAGGCACTTCATAAAATAAGGCACAGTTCAAGGGTGACAAGAACAGCTAAAAGCTCAGATCTCCAACCAAAAGCATGGGGCAGAGAATATTGTATATGGCAAGATTCTTTTAAAAACACAAATTGAAAAAAAATAAATAAAATTAAAAAAAATAAGCTGGGCAGTGGTGGTGCAAACCTTTAATCTCAGCACTCAGGAGGCAGAGCCAGGCGGATCTTTGTGAGTTCAAAGCCAGCCTGATCTACAGAGCTGAGATCCAGGAAAGGCACAAAGCTACACAAAGAAAACCTGTCTCGAAAAAGCAAAATTAATTAATTAATTAATTAATTAATTAATTAAAAAATAAATAAAAACACAAATTGCTACCTCAGTGAAGTGTTTCCTTCTTCATGGCCATACTTCCTAATCCTCTCCAAACAGCCACAAACATTGCACCAAGTACTAAAATGTCCAAGATTTATGGGGATCATTACATTCAAACCACCAGTCTATAAATGCATTATTTTTGTAGTAGCAAATTAACATTATTACATGTAAAGTATTATGATTTTTTATTTCAAATAATTTAATCTTTATAATAAGACTATATTTTTGCTATAACATAAACCCTAACAATCCCTTTGTTCACTCAGTCTTCAACAAAATTTGTTTGAAAAATAAGCTAGTCCATAATAATATAAACTCTATTGAGTTGCATTCAAAATATTCATTCCATAGTCTAATCCTGGG